GAAATACTCACTATATGTATGGTTCCCGTATACTGTCAAGGCGCTTTTCATATACACAAGTTTCACTCTATAGGAGACGGATTATGCTTATTTTCATAATTTCAGTTTGTGTGACAAAAAACCACCGCATTATTCCCCTAGGCTTCAAAAATGTACGGCTAGTATTATTTCCTAGTATGGATCGCTATACGATTTAAAATACTATCAACTGAAAGATAAACACAATTGCCTTAGAAAATAAAATATGTTAACTCGTTTAAATCCTCATTAATTTAATTGACTTCAAAATGTTAGCGAAAGTTGTGCAAACACACTCGCTATAACATGTCTGTCAAGCATTTCTGCTAAATATCTTGCGTCTTCATACAATTTTCACATAATTTTTTTAATTTACTCCTAGGATTTCAATCGATCATATTATACATTGTATTATACAAGCTTTAGAATAAAGAAACAAAAAAATTTCAATTGATTGAAATTATTTGTATGCATTTTGTAGGTGTTTTGTTCGGCATTCGTTTTTCTTTACTTGCGCAACACAATCATCAAGTTTTTAACATATTTGTGACAATGGAATTTAAAAAAAAAAAGAAAAAAAAAATGCTTTACCTTTTTCAATAAAAGAGAAGAGACAAGGAATGCATAAAAAATACTATATACCGTTTACATTTTTTTATAAATTAATGTGAAAATTATTTAATTAATTAAATAGAGACAAAAACAAAAAAGTACAGTTATTTCATGCTAATTAAAATGAAAGATAATTGACAGTTAGTTTAACAAGAAAAAAGTTAAGCTCCCAAGAGTTATACGAGTTCCCAATATATATACCCATTTATGCAGGAATTAAAAAAAAAAAAAAAAATTTTTTTTATTTCGAATATGATGAGAAGCTTTTTGCTTACACGCTTAATAGGGCGAAAAAAAATAGTTATTATTATCCTTTCCCGCACTTACTATTAATATTTGTATCAAAACTAGTGAACCTCAAGTTTTTTATATATATATATTTTTCTTATGCAAAATCTGGCCCATTTTACTCCACTACCCCAAAGTGAACGTGAAATTTCTATCGTTATTTACCCGCATCCCGCATTTGAAATTCGACCTAAGACGAATAAAAATATAAATTTTTTCGTACCTTTTTCCTGTCAAAAATATTTCACGTGTTTCTCATATACAAATGAAATGGTCAATGATATGTTGTGTACGCTTTTGGTTGTATTTAAACAAAAAAAAAAAAAAAAAGTACGGAAAGTAATAAATAAAAATACAACATCACCATGAGAGGAGGAATATTTCGTATTTCGTACCATTTAGTAAAAATGTAATCTTTTTAGCGTGTTTTTGTATACATGTATATATTGTATTGAATGGATATCATAAAGAAGAAGAAGAAGAAAAAGCAAACATCTTTTTTATTTGAAAAAAACGCAATCGTTTATTCAACTTCTGGGTTCCTCTACACATCCATTATTATTCTTTTGCCCGAAAACCATTTTGTTTTTGGTTTTTTTTTTTTTGTTCTATGAAAAAGTAAAAAAAAAAAAAAAAAAATAAGCAATTATTTGTGAATATTGTTTTATTGCATTTTCATTTGTTTCACTTGACGGTTAGAGTCTTTTCAGAAAATATTTAGAAATACCCAAAAGGTATATAATACCCGTAACCGCATATATATGCATGCGAGGGCGATGGCTTGGCAAACGCGAGTAACAAACAAAAAGAGTTTCAACAACAGCTCAATAATAACCCAGCAGCAGACAGACGACGACGGACTAGTAGCGCAATGTTTTGTTGCATTTTTCTTTGCCTGTTTTTTTTTTCTTTTTTTTTTTTTTTTCTCAATTGTTTTCAAAAAATTCTATTTCTTTTGAAACGTGCAAATTGCATTTCAATTAGAGTTTATGTGCGATCATATTTTTCCTCAAGCATACACAAGGCAAGCACGCACGCACGCCCAATGCACACACACACACACACACACACACAACACAGAGCATTTTCGGTTTTTGTTCGGTTTTTTTCTTTTTTTTATTGGTTAACATTTCTTGTTTTCCGTTAAATAATTTATTTGCTCGAAATTGATTTAGTTACCACTTAAGGCAAACAGTGACCTGGACATCATACATACAACAACTCGATATATTCAATAATATACACAAGCTAAAAACTATATACAAAATAACAACAACAACAACAACAACAAAACAATAAAATGGTTGTATTCTTCTTTTGCCTCTGCTATTATTACACCCCCTGTTATCGTTGTTTATTGCTTGCGTACTTGTTTCTTTTTTCACTTGCATTTTAAATGAGTAGTAGTTTGAAAATAAGAAATTATTGACCATTAGAGAGAGGAAAAAAATATTAATAATTCTCCTTGAATAAGAGGAAAAAACTTTAAAAACACGTAAGCAGCTTATATGGAATATAAAAAGGTTACAGACAAAAATTCTTTGTATTTTACACACAACTATCTCCAGCATTGAAGTTTAGCATGAACGTTACACGTTAGTGTTTCGAGAAGAAGAATAGATTTGTTGCTGCTACCGTTGCTGTTTGGTTAACGACTTAGGTGTTCTATTAAGTAAATTTAAAATTTTAAGTATAAAAGTATAGGGCATTTAAGGGATTATTAACTAGTAACTTTTGCCTCAACAAGCACAGCTGCTTGTATACTGGTAACATTGAAATCATTATTGGTAAAAGTTGGCAGAACGTTGAGTGATTTCAACGATTTCGTTAAAGCCACCATTTCCATTTGAAAGCAGTGCCATTTATCTTTACCGTCTTCAATTCATTAGCTGACCACCGGCTAGTTTCGTTTCATAAACATATCGTTTTTATTGAGTATAAAAAAGGAGATATGATGATGAAAATAAATAGAAATATACGTGAAGGAAAGAACAGAAGTTATACGCAACGCATCTTATGTTTGCCACTGGATCATACGCCTTTCTTGCGTACTGTTTAATTTTACTTTCTTTTCCATATGCTTTTTTTTTTTTTGTTAAGCATAAACGGTAATGCCGAGCTATCTTATCTTTTTTGCTTTGGCAAAGTGTGAACATCAACTTTTTTATATGATGATATCTTTATTGGCTTGATTGACTTTGAAAGCGGCAGAAATTCCCGCTCAATATAAACGCGTTCTCAAGTCGATCTGTATAACAAGAATCTCAGTAGTAGTTGAAGCATCACAAGAAGCCCTAAGATTACTAAGATCACTAAGATGTCGAGAAAATCTAAGGAGGAAACCTCCGAGGAAGGAAACTATTCCGACAAGAGAGTATTAAACGGCGAATGTAACCGCTTCTATCGAAAGGGCGATGAGGATCCCTAAGCGCACTTTTTCTTATTCTTATTGAGAGGACACTATGTGTGAAGCATGAAATTTTCAAAATACATTTTATAAAAGATTTTTAAATGCAATCGTAATCGAATTTAGTCTAGTAATCGTTCTATAGTGCCTCTTAGGATGAAGATAGCAAAGTGGACTTAATCGGACAATCATTGCAATCTACTCGCTAGTTATGAAAGTCTTGTTCATTTCTATGTTTAACTGAAAGGGACGAATGAAATATTGAAAGAAGAAATTTGAAGAAATTTCATAGCACACACCAGCGGATATATTCGAGAATACGGATTTGGTTATTAGTGTTGTAACGTTACAAAGAGCTGTCTGCTGTTGCCGTCTCCTCATATTAGCAAATCATTGACTTTCACAATGTTATATGGAAAAGAATTAACGAATAAGAAGAGAAGAATGCTATCTTCGCTGATACTGCAGCCAGCTAGGATCATCTAGTAAAAGCTTTAATTACTAGGCGCAGTTTTAAAATCGTAAAACTTTACCGAACAACTAAACACATGTCCTCTACATTTTCATTTAACCAACAAGTAGGGTCTTTTGCGGTCCCAGATGTCATATGTTGTGGGCTATTTATTGATCCCCTTTGTAATAAACGATCCGACAGAAGTGCGATCGTGATTAATAACGTTTTTGTCCTAAATGGTGAAAAAGAAGAGCACTTGATATTTAGGAAATCGCTTATAGTAAATTGCGATCGTGAGAATATCAGATCGTCATAAAGATTTCAGCATTATGGAAAAAAAAGTCGATTAGAATGTGGACGTTCGCTCCATATATGATAGATAAGCACTCTACCTTGCAATAATATAGTGGTTGATTCGAGTGTTTGACTCCCCTAAAAAAAAGGGATCTCGTGTTCGTCTCAAAGCGAACGCATTGCCTTCTTATATATATATATATATATATGGTAGGCGATATATATATATATATATATA